ATATATATATATATTGAAATATTATTTTTCAACTGAATTTGGAAATACTTGATTTTAAAATATTCATTGTCTCTAATAAATAGATCATGAAGCACTTATATAAAAAAATGAATTTACTTTCTATTTTTATCGACTCTTGCAATTTATCACACTACAAATCATTTTTTTATATTTTTGTTTTTCAGAATATAATAAAATGAATAGCCACCATGAAATAACATTTGACATTTATTATAATTTCTGTTATGACTAGTAGTGTTTTCACATAAATTCACGCGATACTCATAGACAGGATGCATACATACATATATGGGAACTAAAATAAAGACAGCTCGAAATCAAATTCATCCCTTTCTATCACAAGTTAGCAATCTATTCATATAAGTCTATGATTAAAAAGAGGTCATGTGATCAAAATTGATGAATAACAAGTTCACCATGCTCGACATTTGACACTGCCACGTACCTAAAAGTACCTTAAGAGTAAAATGATATTCTCTGCGCTATGTAAAAGAATACACCCTGTGAGTGGCAGTTTATTGATGTTGAGAGCGACTAGCCATCAGAGATCCAATTCGTTCGGATTCGCATGAGCAACCGCATTCTCCTTAAATAGAACATCAATCTAAATTCATTCCAGGCATTCAAGGCAAGACCCATTAGATCACCTTACTGAATCTAGTAGTGAAGGACCAGAAAACGCCGCGATCGACTAAAAGCTTCGAGTTAGATCTCCTTAGTGGACATAAATATCAGACATTCACAAGATAAAAAAATCGAACAGAAAAATAATCAGTGAAAAAATCGATAAATTAAAAAAAACTATCGGTGTTTTCGATTAATCGATAAAAATCCATCCTGTGCAACTAATTTCGAACACTGTTTTAAGATTACTCTCTCATATGCTTGTGGTGCGTACGCTGATTGTTTAATTACCACAAATATATATATGGGATTTACGGTTTTAATGCTGATTCCAAATGGCGGATTTTTCGAGAAGTGTTTCTGTGAGCAAGGGTGAGCAACTCTCGGGAGATTGTCAGTCTTTTCCAACAGGAGATACAGGCGTAAATATTTATTTTAAGGTTCCTACTAGTGCTGCCAGACATGCCCCGCACTCGTGCATGCGCGTAGTCTAAAGCATCAATAGGGAATCCGTTCGTGAAACTAGCATTCTTAGTCACCCCAAAGAGAAATAGAATTATAAATGTATAGAAATTAGACATACCTCTTATTTTGAGGTAATTTCTACATTAACATTATTTATTTTATGAGAAGCTGATTCGGCATATCTTGATAAATTATATCGACAATATTTAAGCAAAATATTACAAATTTTACACCAAGCTTTATTGTCATTCTCTGTCAACCAACCTTTAAAGATATATACCTTAAAGATATCAGTCTAACCAAAATCTTTTAAATTTTTGGATACATATCTTTTTTGGAATCTTTTTCCTGATCTCCATTACGATTCATTTTCTGACTTAAAATATTTTACTTTATTTCTATTTTCTTCTTGGAATTCCTCGCACCTCCTGTCCAGTTTAGCGCGCAGATTTTCACATCTTACTTTAACCTAACCTAATGGTTACAGCACTGCGCGTTAAGCTACAAACAACGCACATGCGCGAGTGCGGGGCATGTCTATCCTACCCGGATCAAACCCGGGATCTCTGATATAATAGACCAATGCATCTGCTATGTTTGTGCTCTGCTAAATTCTTATATTGTAACGTCAAAAGTGGGAAAATAAATAATAAAAATTCCTAGAAAATATATTAATATGAAAATATTGGAAGTACGAATTAGTTTGATCCGTTCAAAAATACATTTATTTCAAAACAAAATGAATGAACAGATCAAATTAAAGTATTGTCCATTGCTACTTACTACTTTTTCCCATCTCTCAGGCAATTTTCGAATTCCATCTCGAAAAAATGATTCGTCTTTGGAGGCGATCCAATTTTGGAGCCAATTTTCGACTTTTGCGAAAGAAATGAACCGGTGACTTGCCAAATCGTGCTACATGTTCCTTCGGAACAACCAGTAATCAGAAGGAGCAATGTCCGAAGAATACGGTGCAGTAAAACATCCCATTTGAGCGTTTCTAAATATTTTTTTAGCGACTTTAGCGACATGAGGCCGAGCGTTGTCATGAAGAAGAATAATAACTTTATCATGTCTTTGCTCGTATTCCGACCGTTTTTCTCGCAATGCACGGCTCAAACGAATCAATTGTAGCCGATACCGATTGCTCGTAATGAAATCGCTAGGTTTCAGCAGCTCATAGTAAACAAAACCCTTTTTTTTGGTACCACCAGATACAGAGCATGATCTTCGAACCATGAATGTTCAGCCGTGATGTTGATGTTGAGGTCGATGGCAACGATTGACCAAGCTTAGCATAGTATTTTTTCTTCTTGGGATTGTCATGGAATATCCAGCCTTCTCATCTCCAGTCACAATCCGACGCAAAAAAACCTTTTCTCTGTTTTCTTTGAATCAGCTGTTCGCAAGTGAAAAATCGCCTTTCAACGTCTCTCGGTTTCAGTTCATAAGACACCCAATTTCCTTGTTTTTGAATCATTCCCATAACTCTCAATCGTACAGAAACGACTTAGTTACCTCCAATGATTCTGCAAGCTCCTCTTGCGTTTGACTCTGATCTTCTTCGAGTAATGCCTCTAATTCTTTGTCTTCGAATTTTTTGGCTGTCCAGAGCGAGGCTTGTTTTCAACGCTGAAATCTTCATCTTTGAAACATCGAAATCATTCCCTACATTTATCAGTTAGAACAGTGTCAACATAAATTTCGACAAGCATTCGATGGGCTTCAGCTGCACTTTTCTTCCAATTAAAGCAGAAAATCAAAATCTCCCGCAAATGCTGCTTGGTTAACACAAAATTCGACATTTCAAACACAGTAAAAATCAAAGTTTTTGTATGAAACGCAAAGCGATAACTGAATATTATTAGCAGATGTTTAACTTCTTTGAAACCGCTAAAATCAGCTGTCACTAACCATTCACAACAGCCATCTTTAGGGAAACAGATCGAACTAATTTGTACTTCCAATATATTTTATAATGAAATAACTTACATATTTATAATCGATAGAATCAACTTGTAAATTATACTAAAAATTCTCCTTTTATATCGATAATTAATAAATAACCATATATTTGGAAATGAATTATGAATAACCAAAAATGAAATAAGCTATGTTTACAATTATAACAAATTAAACAACAACAAACAACAAATTTCAATTAAAATTAGAAAAAATTTTTATTATGTGTTATTATTTCCTCGTTTTTGACATTACAATCTAAGATAGTAGTGATAAATGAACAGTCTTATAAACACTGTTCAAACATTTAAAAATGATTACTTAAAAATAATATAAATTATAATGTTATTTATATTATCAGGAGACAAGATAGTATTTCGAGTGAATATACCATATCTTTTTATGGTATGTATTTATGATTCTCGAGACCCTCCGGCCTATAACATTATCGCATTCACGCACACCCACATATATTCACAAATAAGTTAATATAAAAATATTATATAAAAATTATTGAATTTAAGCTGCAGTAATACATGCAGCATGACATTCATTGTTATCGTATTGTCTGAGACATGTGCAGTGGCGTCAACATTAACTCAAAAGCAGCATCTTTTAAATTTGCACCGCGTAAATTTGCATCTTGTAGATCAGAACCAGATAAATCACAGCACTAAAAAAATAGCATATGTAAGTACATATAGATATAGTAAACGAAGGAAAGTATTTAAGGAATGTATTAAAATTTTTAGTTTCATATAGTACGACGAAATCAAAATACCTCTAAATCGGCACCGGCTAAAACAGCTGATCTCAAAATGCAATTCCTAAGAATAGCATTCTTTAATGTAGCTACTCGGAGGTTGACGGCTGCCATGTTACTGCCTTCAAGATTTGCACCTTTCAAATTTACACCTTCCATATTTGCTGACAAACCACCAGGATCTTCAAAATTACACGAATGCAGATTGGCTGCAGCTAGATTTGCACATGACATTTTTACGCACACAAGTTGTGCGCCTTGCAAATTGGAATGGGATAAATCAGCGCGCTCAAAGCAACATCCTGATAGATTAGCACCTGCCAGACTACAGTGATGCATAATGGCGTACTATAATATAATGAAAAGCAGGTAAACACAATGAAGGATTTTTGTTAGAACTATTTCTATCATCTAATTTGTTAGAACTATTTCTATTATCTGATTTGGTCAGTAGCACATAATATGATTTTATTATATGTAAATACTTTAGAAAAAATTCTAGAAACACACCATACAATTATAGACTGAGCGCTACATCTGACGATTACGTTGAAGAATCGCATATAATCTAATGCAAAAAATTGCATTATACGTTAGCTTATTTTATCCTTTAAATTATGAAAATTGCATTATACATTAGCTTATTTTATCCTTTAAATTATGAAAATAAACGTACCTTAAAATTAATATTTCTAAGATCTAATTTCGAAAGATCGGCTCTTACAAAATCAACTCCTTGGAATCTAAGTTCTGCGTTAGTTGATGTAGACATAATTGCTTTAAGTACATCTTTGCGAGTTAGAGACACAAGACCCTCTTTTTGCAGTTCTTCTTTTTCTAACATTGTAGTAAGGATCCGAATAGCGCCTTCAATGCCATAAAAACAAGCTTCTGCCAAAACTCCTGTATCAAAACATTAGTCTTACTATAATAAATATGTCAGTCGTATAAAAACGTAAATAAGATTCATATATACCAGCTACGTTAACATTAGAATCAAGTATTATTTGATCATGTCTCAAGTAATTTAACAATGGTTCAAAATAAGTAGGACTTCTATCAATTAGATATGCTCCACTATGATCCTGTCTACTTGGTTGTATAGCATGCTCACTATATCCAGTTTCTGTAAACATTCTGTATAAAATGTTGTATTATATTATTACATTATTTTATAAAATAATTTTCTCTTTTTTCCTCATTCATACTACATTTAATATGTAGATTTGATATTCAACAACTAGTTTTTATACTTAAATTATTGTAAATTACCATAGATTTCATTCATATTCAACTTTAAGCCTTAAATCAACCAATGTTAGTTACTAATTATAATTACAAATCGTATTATAAAAGTGATGATACTGAATGTAGGATATTCATGTGAGTATATCGTTTTATTATTTAAAAAGTAATCAAGATATATCCTGCCCAAAAAGTACCCGGAATTTTTTAATGAAATGCAAAATTTTAAATTTTAAAATAAATTTATTTTATTCCTTTCAAAAAAATCATCATTCGAGGCTATATGTATACATGTGCAGCGAGTACCTCTTAACACTCGTAACATTTTTCATAGGCTGCTGAAGATAATAGCCTTTAGTCCCTTCGTCGAATTTTTTTTTTATGGAATCAATCAAATGAAACTGTTTTCCTCGTAGTGATAATTTGTGTTTTGAAAACAAAAAAAAGTGCCATACGTGGTGAATACAATGCATGGGCGATATTTGTTATATGTTTAGTCAAAAAGTCACGTACAAGAGATGGCATGTGTGACAGCGCATTATCAATTATGCTTTAACCAATTGCGCTTGAATTGGCTTGAGCACAGTGCGGTCCCATAGTGCGGAATTGGCGCAATGCGGAATTAGCGGAATCATGATTGATCGTGGCTTCATTCCGCCGTTTTCTATTGCGTAAATTTATTTCTTTTGCGGATTCCGCCCAATACTTGCCTGTATGCGCGTGCCTGTATACTTATAAAAATCTCGTTAAACTGATTTAAGTGTCTTCTATAAGCGCATCTTCTTCTTTTTCTTATTGGTTAGTGGCTTCTGCCTCTCATATATATTGAACGAAGACAATACGGCCAAATCACGACGTTGAATTGTACATAAGCATTCATAGATGGATAATGTTGTACTGCAGGTTTCGGCGTTGCGAAGCGAATAATTCGCCGTTGAAAACGAACTTAAAGAGGCTCCGTCTCTCGCGGCGAGAGGCAAGTGACGTAAAGCCGTTGGGACGGGATAGAGAGTCCGGGCCCGACGCAAGCGCACACGCGCTTGGAGAGTACCGCGAGTTGACGCGCTTGGGGAATACCGCGAATGTTTGAGTTATAATAGGCGGTATAATAGGCAGGTGAGACTAAAGCTTGCAAACAGGCGATAAATTTTTGCCGAGGGCTTGCGTAAGGCGGAGTTTATGACTTCAAGAGGATTCGATGTTCGATGTTAAGCTTTGAAGTGCCGTACGAAATGGAAGGACATGAGGTTCTGTAATAGAGCAAAGGAAAATTATATAAGCTAGATCTTGAGAAGAGAAGCCAAGGGCAAGAAGGATTATCTATCAAATTTTTTCAGAAAACTTGAATTGGAATTATAATGATTGCTTTTCAAATGATTGATAGTGGTGATAGACATGCGGGAGAGATGAAAGTCATAAAACCATGATTTACCATTTTCAGAATAGAAGTTTTCAAAGTAATAAACACCCTTATTACGAGATGTCCTTCTGATGAAACTCTCAAAATTCAGACATTTTTTTTAGGAATATGGAATAAATCGGAGCTTTAAAGTTAATATCCGAACTCTCGCGTATTGCCCTTTTGACTAATTGATCTACGATCTCGTTATCTTGTATACACAGTGAGACGGGATCCAAATCCATGGCCATGAATATATTTCTAAATTTGGCCTCTTCAATTAATGCACGTATATAGTCAATGATATAGTTTGTATCTTCGCAGAACGTCGAGAACGCTCTTTGAATCTAAGATTACAATGCGATTCAAATTTCTGTGAATAGCTATAGACAATTATAGATGGCTCAAGCTTCAATCGAAAGAAGCGGAAGAGGATATTAAATGTACAACTTTGCTTCCGCCGTTTTTTTCTCTGAAATTCGAGGCTTTATTGTAAAAAACTGATTATACATTTATGATTCAAAGTATTGTCCATCACTGGCCACTACTTTCTCCCATCTTTCGCGTACGAATCCCGCGTCGAAAAAACTGTCATCTTTTGAGGCTATCCACGAATCGATTCAATTTTTTACTTCTTCATAAGACCGGAAGTGCTGGTCAGCCAGGCCGTGTGCCATTGATCGAAACAAGTGATAGTCAGAGGGAGCAATGTCTGGAGAATATGGCGGGTGGAGTAGGACTTCCCATTTCAACGTTTCCAAGTATGTCTTGACCACTTTCGCAACATGGGGTCGAGCATTGTCATGCTGCAAAATCATTTTATCGTGTCTCTCGTAGTATTGCGGCCGTTTGTCTTTCAATGCTCGGCTCAAACGCATCAACTGCGTTCGATACTGATCGCCTGTGATTGTTTCAGTCGGTTTTAACAGTTCATAATACACTACGCCGAGCTGGTCCCACCAAATACAGAGCATGACCTTGGACGTCAAAATCACCGTTCTTGAAGCGTTGAAACCACTCACGATACGTTCTTTCACTAATAGCGGCCTCACCATAAGTATTTGAGAGCATTCGATGAGCCTCAGCCGCAGATTTCTTCATATTGAAGCAAAAAATTAAAACCTCCCGCAAACGACGAGAATTTGGCTCGTAAACTGACATTTTCAATCGAGAATAACTTTATGATGCAGACACAAATCGACTAATGTTTCTATGGGATTATATTGACAGATGCCCAAGTTTATAGTATGACGTCTATGATCTATTTATTTCGACCACCACTTACCGCTAAAGCCATCTATAGGAAAATGGCGGAAGCAAAGTTGTACACCTAATAACTTGAACATGTATTACAAATCAAGCTGGGAAAAGTAAATAAATAACAGAGCCGACGAATGTATCCTCCTCAGATTTAAATCCATCCATATGAAATACGATAGCTTGAGAGATCAGATCTCTAAACAAGACTCGTCAAAGACGACTAATTGGGGAGGTCCAGAGCGGAAGAGTTTAAGAGCTTTAGGCGAAGGTTTAATATATAATTTTTGCATGTAATAATAGAATGAAAGGAATTCTGAAAAACAGAAAGAGCGGGGGTAATATACATATCATTTTTATACTGCCACATACGGAAAAATATGATTGCTGACGGGAAATTTTTTAGTAGATATGCATATCGTGAAAGGATTGTGGCACAGATTTCAAGAGTTTTGTTATGACAGGATGATCCCGTAAAAATAACTTTGAGGAAGTATATGGAGGCCAAGAATTTGAATGTACAAAAGTTTAGATTCAGTATGTTTAGGTAGATTAGATTCAGCATTCATTACATTATTTGGAGTGGATACGCGATAACACACAAGCAAACTAATCGCAGCGCTTGGTTTTGTAATTTTCCAAGATCTTGGTTATTGTTCAAAGCAAAGATAAGAGAAGCATATTCGTAAGAAATTCGAATCATAGAGTTATATATATAGAGAAGTTAAGAAGGGCTAGCGCCCCATCAAGTAATTCTAAGGGCGGAAATAATAGTTTAATTTTTTCCTTTTGTTAATTACATATGCCATATGTTGCTCATCTGAAAGTTTGGGATTCAATATTATATCCAGAAATCTAACTATTGAAGAAGGGAGAATATCAGTTTCTCCCAGTTTAAAAAACAGTTAATGTGGGGATTCTTATACTTTTTGAAGAAAATCATCAATTGAGTTTTTGAGGAGAAGATCTCAAGGTCTCTGTTATTCATGAAGGATCGAAAGGTTATTTAAGGAACATTCTATTGATTGTTGAGCGACTCTGATGTTAGCGTGGAAGGAAAAGGAATATGACAATGTCATCCGCAAATTGAAGCAAGTGTATCAGATAATAAAGAATCGTTGATATCTCTAAGGTAAATATTGAAGAGTGTGGAGTCGAGTACTGACCTTTGAGGGGTGCCTTTATGCGAGTGATGAAGAAAAGAGATCCTCTGTACCACAAATTATAATATTGATGAATTTAATAAAGAAGGGAAAAAATTGATGAGATCTTGGATTAATATATGAGATAAGACATTGTCAAAAGCGGATTTAATATCTATGAATGCAGCCACAATGTCCTGATGAAGAAGATAGGCCTTGTGAATGTAAGCGGACAAGATAGTAAGATTGTCTTGGGAGGACTTAAATTTCCTAAATCTGAACTGATTGATTGGAAATAGGAAAATGAGAGGCGAGGAGAGTGACTTAGAGAGCCAATAAAGTCTATTCAGAATCATACGCTCTAGGAGCTTTAGAATACAGGATGTGAGTGATATAGATCGATAGCACCATAAGGCTTTTGAAATTAAGTGAACGATAGAATGTGACCATTGAACGGAGAAAGTGGAAGATGAAAAGATGAGATTTAATAAAGAGTAAGCAAGAAAAAAGTTCATCCGGGAGAGGCGGTAATCTATACCGTCCAGGTTGAGACTGGAAGATATCCTTATAACATGGGCGGTTCTGATTTCGTTAAGAGAAAAACGATGAGTCAAGTAAGAGATTTCGGATGTCCCTATCAGAGACAGTGGGTGTCCCCGAAGAACATGCAGGAGGACAGAATTTATTTATGATTTCTTTCTTGAATTTGAGAGATTCCGTTAATTGAAAGGTTATTAATGGGGAGAGAGGACGAAATGAGATGGCGGTTTTTAAAACGTTTGAGCATGCGCCAGACTTTCGTAGAGGGAATGCGAGAGCTGAGATTTTCGTAAAAAGTTCTCCAGCCCTTTCGCTTCTTCGAAACTCTCTCGACCGACTCCCGATATGCTTCGTAGTTTTCAGTAATTAGAATTTAAAGATATGCGGTCCGAGACCTCATCACATTCTAGAGTCGACCAGAGTGTAGGGGGAAGAACCCGAGAGGAGCAATCACTAGGGATGTATTGTTTACTGTTATTGCGAGAGTGTTTAGAGAGTAAATGATTCCCAAATGCGGCGAATAAAAGTGTTGTATCTTTCTTCTGGAAAAACTGAAAAAACACTTTCCGAGATCTCATCAACAATTTTCTGTGCATATTCCGCTAATCAGTGGTTTACACACAACTATTGCTCGCGCGTAAGGCAAATTTTATTAGAGAAGAAAGAAATGGATTTAATTTGCAAATTGATATTGATAGAAATAGGGAAGTGATCGCTGCCCCATGGATCACACCCGACGGACACATCGCAGAATGAAATATTTGAGGAAGAGAACATGAGATCAATAGTGGAAGGGGCTCTTGATGGGATGATTGAAAAAAGTTGAAATGGAATCAGGATTAAGACAAGAGAGATTATAAAAGTCTGTCAAATCTGCAAGAAGAGAGCCCGCAGAATTGATTCTAGGAGATCCCCAAAGAGGATAGTAAGTTCCAAGGAGAAGAACAGAATTAAAAGAGTTGATAAAAGAAAACAAAGGGTTCGCGATGTTTTTAGAAAAGGGGATATTGAGATGAGGATATACAGCTATGATTGTGAGAGGAGAATCCTTAAAGAAGACTTGAATAACTAGCATTTCGATTGAAGGAAAAAAGATAAGTTTCCCAAGACTTGATATTTTATTGAACTACGTATGAGGACTGCCATATCTCTAATGTCTTTAATAATATTATTTAAGCGTAAACAATCAAATCGAAAAATCCTGAGTAGAATTAAGGCATGTTTCCGTAAGAATAAGAATATTCACATTTTCAATAATTTTTTCAAGTTTCTTAGAGGCAGCACCGCGACAGTTCCAGAAAATTAATTTAATGAATTGAGGATTACGTTGAGGCAGAGAAGAATAATGATGAAGATTATTCCATTTTGATTATTATGAATCAATTGACCAAGCATCTTGGATTTGTCGTAAGTAGTTGCCAATTTATGGATCAAAAGAAGATGAAGGAATATTGCCAATGATTTTCTGTAGCAGATTAGAGAGGATAAATACGAGGTTTATAAATTCTGCGATAGAAGAGTTGGGGGAGAAGATGAAAGGGGAGAGGAGGGGGGGGGGGGGGGGGGGGGGAGAGAAAAGATTGATAGGACTATCCGAGGAGTGGGGGGAGAGAGGAATAGAGGGCTCCTCATCTGCTATCAGGTATGATAAGGCAGGACCTGTGGGCATTGCGAAGATCTTCCGAAGGATCACCATTGAGCCCTCCTGGGGGGAAGCTGACAGGATAGTCGGGACGTTGAGGTTAAATTCTGTAGCGTGATTGAAAATTCTTTGGAAGAGAGGCCCGTACTTTGTCGCTATAGGATTGGATGGGTTCGAAGGTTTGCAGGTGGCCAAATTCTGGGTTGATCCGAATAAATCATAAGGGTCAAAGAAATTTGAGAGGAGAAGAAAAAGAAAAATGGAAAGGGGAAAAGGAAGAATTCTAGAAACAGCTATGTAATATCTGGGAAGGAGGGAGGAAAAAAGAGGGGTGAAGGAGGAGAGAGTGAAGAGTAATTTGCAATGGAACCAAGTCTGTTGCGAGCCTCAACATAAGAGACATTTTCAAGAGCTGCGTATTGATATACCTACCTCTGTCTGAGATACATAGGGCATTTATTAGAAGAAGGAAAATGATATTGACCACAATTACAGCATTTGGGGGGAAGATGATGACGAGAACAATCCTCCAATTTCACATGCTTGCTTTGTCCACATTTCACACAGCGAGCTGTGCTCTTGCATTCTGAATCGACATAACCGAACTTCAAACAAGCGAAGCACATTAGAACACGAAGGATATATGGAAGCATCGGGAAGAAAGCATGAAAGTGAGTGCACGAGGAAAATTCTGGTTTTGGAATTTAGCCAAGAAGGGTTGCGCGAGGATAAGCTTATCTTTTCCATCTTTTCGTACCTTGCGAGAGAAATAATCTTAATCGGAGAGGAGAACTCATTGAATATTGTTTCTTCAGAAACAACTTGCGCCATATTTTTTTATAATGCCAGATCGCATGATTTTAAAAGAGGGGATAGCTGCTTCGAAGTTATGTGCTTCAAGATCCGTGTACAAAGACTGTTGGCCTTCTCAAAATTATTGAGAGAGACCAAGACCTTGTTGCAGCCTGCTAACTTAACCTCAACTAAGAAATTATTATCGACCAACTTTAATACAGTACGGCTAACTGTGATTAGATTTAAACGAGCATTACTTGAGTTTTTTTTAAAAGGATCACAAATGGCAAATCTTTAAAGAAGAATATCTGCAATTGTATCCAAAGGATTCGTCGGCGACCTGTCTTTGAGCTGAGCCTTCCGACTTATGGTAGAAGTTCCCCTAACAAACTCTCTTCCTCTGGTGGGCGCTTCTTGCTGACACGACACGAGACCGTCATCGTTCTCCTCGTCACGAGTGGCCGAAGAAGTCGTATCAGCGTTTCCGCTAGAAGTCTTACTATTTTAAATCCGGATCTCCCATGGATTTCATAGACTCGAATGTCAGATGACATAGACAGCTCCCCATCCCCCTCTAAAGAAAGGGAGAAACGAAACCTTTTGAAGTTTTTCGAATAATCTTGCAGCGAAAGAAAGGTTTTAC